GTTCATCAGCGTAACAATTTTTATTGCTTACCGACCGCAACATTGTTGTCGATAAAATTTTAATTCGCATTGCCAAACTTTATTTTGTATTGTGTTTGGCCAACCTTTTGGCTGCTGCGACTTTTGGGCATCAATTTCTTTATATGCAACTAATAATTAATTTTTTTAAATATTTTTATTTTATAAATTATCTGATATTTTGATCTATGGCAACTTTTTGTATTTCAGAAATATTTTTAGACCAAGCTCTGATTGGCTTTCTTCAATTGTAGCGCACCTAAACGTCTTAAACGTCGAACTCTCTTGGCCCTGTATTTTTGCATGCCTTCGCTTTTGGACAGCTCTTCCGCCAAATTGATTTATAGCGCTCGAACATGTAGCAGACTGCCTAAAAAAGAAGTAAAATAAAATATATATGAAGCCGCATAAAATAAAGACAAGCGAAGCATTTTTTTCGGAAAGCACGTACCCCAATTATAAATGCAACTAATTGCACAAGCAAATGTTGCATGAAAGCGTTGTAAATTTTTAATAACATGGCAAACAAATGTTGTGCTAAATTGTCAATATTAAGTTGAAAGCAGCAGCAGCAGAGGCAACAGATGCTGTGGCACTTGACAGCATGGCAACCACAACAACATGAGCCAACACAAGGGACAAAAACCATTCAGAGATTCTATGAGCGTACATTTATCATGCGGCAATGCTGCGACATGTTGCATGCTGCAATTCCTGCTGGCTACCGTTTTCCAAGCAGCACGCTTTTGACCTGAGCCGGCGCAGTGCGCGTGCCACAGCCCCCAACAGCAACAGCAACGGCAACAACAAACAATGGCAACACGAATTGTAAGACAGCGTTACCAAATGTTGAACTTGCAGCTTGATCTTTTGATCTTATCGCCAGGCCAGCCCAGGCCAGGCAAGAGTGTTGACTGAACCTTTTCTTTGCCTCTTAGCTTCTCCCTCCTTACCTTTGCGATGATTAATTGAAATTTCACTTTTTCTGCGGTGCGTTGCTCAAGTTTGCTTTTATTTTGCTCGCGCTTTAATTGATAGCTTCCAAATGAAGCGCGCGCCTCAAGAGCATGTTGCAAGTGCCATTTAGGGGCGCATTTGTTGTCGCTTTTAAGCCGCAATGCAACACGCCCCTTTTGGTGCCGTTATGCCACACAACAGCAACAGCAGCACAGCAAGCAATTAGCCGCTGGCCCCGAAAATATGTTGCACCCTCTGGGTGCCTCCTAATGATTCACCATGTGCCACAGAATGCCAATTACACATGCTAATTGCGCCACAAAAGCCACTTGAGGCACAAACTCAACTTAGCTCTGATTGCAACTCTCCAGTGATTTTTCAACTCTGTCAAAACGGGGTTCATTAGCAAGGAATCATTAATTTTTAGCAAATGGCTTTTGAAATACGTGTTATGACAGATGGATCGGAAGATGAATGTGTCCAAGATGAGCAGGTGGTATTGCTATATATATATAGCTATATATCTATACATATACTAATTTGACTTGTCGAATGCTAAATACGCTTGCAATACTTAGCCCAATTTAAGTAACATCATCGTCAAGAGATAGATAGATTGAACAACATCTGGTAAGAATACATATATATATATAAATATATTTATAGTTGGTATATATGGCATAGTTTGACGACGATTAAGTACACTTGGCTAATATTTTACCTATTAATCACATATGAGCTCAACACATTATGGCAGTTGATTTGGAAGATGAATCTTTGAATGGAAGGCAAATATAAAGATGTTGCTCAGTACAGATAAAGATCATGCATGATCATCTAAGAGATCTGAAAGATAGTATAACTATTCTATCCAAGTTGTATATTTATATTGTATATTTATAGCTGCCGAAACTCAAAGTTACTTAGCAACAGCAACACAATGACATATTCGCATTCCACATTCTTTAACTCTCTCCCACTTGTTTCCAGATCTAATCTCTCGTTCTAGTTGTGCTGTGACAGCTTGGCAACATTTGCCACCGACAACATTCCAGTTGTTGTTGGTGGGAGCAGACGCGAAGAACTCGATGGTGTTGCCATGTCGCCCGCTGCTGCTGGCGTCGACGCGGCGACAAAAAACACGCTGCCAACTGATGCGGCGCACAGCAACGAGTTGCACGTGGATGTCAGCAAACAGCAGCACCAGCAGTAGCTGCAGCAACAGCAGCTCGCAACGTGTGGCACGCAAAACCGCGTGGCAACAACAGCAGCAGCAGCAGCAACAACAACGATTCGTAGCAAGTTCGGCTTCTGTGTGCACTTCGTGAATGTGCTTGAGCTGAAGATGTTGCTGCTGCTGTTGTTGATAATGTTGCAACTGGGAAATGTGGCCAGCAAAAAGGTTTTTGGGCAAATTGCATTGGAGCCAGCTCTCAGTTGCTTTGCTGCTTATCAGGCAACACTTTAGCGTCTTGTCATAAATTATGAGCAATGTTGTAGTTTGCCTTTGCGCAGCATACACACCCACACACACACACATGCAGAGCGTACTCACATCACATCACATCTCGATTTGGATTCACGCGTGGTCGCCTCTATAACTCATCCCTCATCCGAGTCACGCCGTCTGCGGTCGCCGACATGTTACGCTTGCCTGCTCGAGTTCAACTAACAGCGGGTAAACTTAACTAAAGCCGCCTTTCATTTCCTGCTACCCACTGCACCACCAGCACTACCATCAGTAGGATGCCCCACTTCACCCACAGAACCAGCCAGCCACATTGCAAATTATTTTGAAATGCAGCCACGCACGCAAAAAATGAGCTCGTTTGAAATCCAAACATTTTAGCAGCCTTCTAACCGTCACATATTGGTCCCCAACCACGCCCCCTCCCAGTCATACATATCCTACAACGCAGTCTGCCCATCTCGCAGAGTTCCTGCTATTTATTCATTGGTGCGTGTTGCCAAATGCCAAACATTTTTAGATGCGACTGCGAACGATGCTTGTAAATACTTTCGAGTTGTGCAAAAGTGGAAAAAGATTTGCTGTCGCAGCTGTTGGAGTTGCTTTTGTTGTTGTTGTCGCCAGTTGTTGTTGGCATTTGCCGGGGCATTTACAGTGCGCTTCTTTGACTTGACTGCTCACGGAGTGGGCCACTTGGGCGGCAGCACGACTCACAGTGCGTGGCACAAAGATTTTTAATGCACTTTTAATTAATTTTTGGCGCTAACCAAAAACTTGCAGGAGCACTAAACTAGATGAACATTTGTCATTAAATAAGTTTGTTACATTAAACGTTAATTTTTAGTTACAGCCCTCAACTTAAGTTTTGTTTCCTACTTTCAATTGAAAACATGTTTTAAAAATTTAAAAGAGATCAATTATTTCATATATGATTCTTGCCCTAATGGATTTTCAGGTCTTAAATTGGTTTAGGTTAAACCAGCTAAAGACAGTAATTGGAACAGCAAATAAGCCACTCAAATTAACTCAAGCTCTCCTTTTAGTTGCTGGATACTGATTTCTTATTAACTACTTCTTCCAATTACTATCACTGCTTTAAGTAACTGGAATACTTATCTATTATTAACTATTTATTCCAACTATTTACTCGATTCCAACAAGTTTCTCTTAAGAAAAGTTATATTAACTTTATCATCAATCGACTAAAACAGTCAATTTCCCGACAAATTTCATACCAATCATAAAACAGCATCATTTTACGATGCTGTCCAGTTGCATTTAGCACACCTCTAGTGTCAATAGTGGGGCTATCAATTAATTAAAAAGCTAATAAACATTTAAGCAGCCAGAGAAATTATCAATTAGAAGTTCTTTGCCGTAGCCCAACAAGTGCTGCTAAAAATTTATTAAACTGACGTTTGATATCGAAAAATAACTTGTTATCATTAGAGAAGATAAGGAAGCTCTACGGTGGCTGCCGTGGATTCTAAATGGCTGGTGTGGATGCTGGAATACCCAGTTTGTCATGCCATGGCCCTCTATGGGATCCTCACACACGCACATACAAAGGTACACTCACAAATACGAAACAGCCGCGAACAACAGTGAACGACTTACGTTCCACAAACAATGTCCATGTGAATGGAAGGAAACTGGTTGTCAGCTTCACAGTGGCACAGTACCGAATAACATTAGGTGAAATGAAAATTCGACTTCGATTCGACTTATTGTTGATTTATATAAAACTAACAGTCATTTTCCGCTCTCTCAATGTAAGCCAAGACTTTACTATTATAAATAAATACGAAATATGTGAATAGATGTCCTAGGATACTTATTATATGCATTTCTTAATTTAAAGTAATAATAATAATATTAATGTAGATTATTATGAAATACTAATGAGTAAAATTAAATAAAATTATATTATCAAGTGCAGAATTATAATTAAAAAATTATATTTTAAAAATATAATAATAATAGCAGTGTTAAAGTTAATGACTCGATATCAATATTTATCATAATAGTAATAAATATGATTTATACACTTTGAGTGACTGCAACATTAAGCCACTGTGCAACGTCGACGTCAGCTGCTGCTGCTGCTATGACAGCGAGCAGCCGAACAGCCGCTGCCTGTATGACTGCCTGCCTGCTTGCCTGCTTGGCTGCTTGGCTGCTTGGCTGGCTGACTGCCTGGCCTATTGAAATTTATGTGGCCGTTTTTAGTCGTTTACGCTTAGCCAGCGGAAGCGAACGTCGCAATCGCAGTCGCAACTCGTAGTGGGAATCAAAATCGGAGTCGGTTAAATCCGTGTATTGATAGTGTGTGTGTGTGAGTGTTCATAATCTTTGTTGTGCAGTGAACAGATGTGTTTAGATCTGGGTGCAACTGAAAAGCCAACAAAGTTTCTTTCGTAATGCAGTGCAATTAAAGCTTAATGTAAATAAAAGTGCAACAATTAAAAAAAGTATATCTATATATATATATATATATATATATATATATATAGTATATATATATAATCTGTTAGAAATAGATTATACGAAAGCTAAAACTAATTAATATTTGGAATTTACATTGGCTCAGTCTGTCGAACTCTTGGCAAACCTGTTGCTGCAGTTGTTGACGCGTTCCTATCTGAAAGGTTGGTATGCCTAACGGCAATATGCAAATAATTAAAACATTTACTATAATCAGCTAATCGCGAGTGCTTGGCCAGAGAACAAGCCATTTAAATTAATCAAGCTGACATGCGACTAAGTAACTATGCAAATCTCGTTGAGGAAGTTAAAGAAAAGAACAAAAAAGCTGAAACACTCTTCACTGTGTGCTACACTTTGCTGCCTGGTTGCGGTCGAAGAGGCATAACAAGTTTTAGTATTCGCTGGCGAAGCGTGAGAAAATTCACAGCGCATTAATTAGCAAAGAAATCATTTTAAGGTAATCGACAATGCGGGTAGGCCACCACCTGCTCAGGTGTTCCTCATGTGTGTGCTTGTGGCCTCCGATTGGCATTGGATAGCAGAGAAACAAAAACTAATTGCCTGAAAATTAAAAACGTGTCAGCTGACACGCTATTGGCTCCTGCTGCACCAGCAGCTGCAACAGTTGCAACAACAACTCGCAGCAACAGCAAAAAGTCGAATTGGAACTTGAATTGCTTTATAATTAGAAGTATTTGCATACAATCAATTATTTTCCCTATTCGAAATACTTAAAATAAGCAGCTCTTTTAACAATATTTTATTTATGTGTTACCACAAAGAGGGAAATATCTTTTTCACTTCGACTTGATCTTGATATTATGTTTCCTTTGTGCGCACACGGCAATGTGAGTCAATGCCTTCTTAGTTCTTGCAAAACCAAATTGAAAATGCTCGGATACCTTCGCAGCAGAGGAGCATAAATTTCAGTTGAGCAATGCGTGTTGGTCGGCACAGCGTGTGCTTCGGACGTTCAACGGCAAAAGGACAGCCAAAGCAATACGAACAGGCTCATTAAGGTTTTAATTTACAAGTTTAGGCGGAGATTTAAGCATTGCGATTTATACGCGTCGAACGAGAGGCAATAATCAATGGCAACAGCAACAGCAACGGCAACAGCATCATCATGCAGGGCTGCTGGCAACAGCAACATGCGCCAGCATCCACCTACGCAGAGCAAGAAACAAAGCCGAGACTTTTAGGCCTGGCCAAGAGCTACGACAACAACGACAACAAACATGACAGCAACACCGACGACGACGATGACGACGATTTGTGCAAATGGCCCGACATGAGAAACATGTGAGCGATAGGAGCAACTGAAGGTGCTTAGGGGGTACATCGGTGCACAGCAATAAAAAAGTAAATGCAACATTGATTAAACACACCTTGACAGGGCTCAATGATTGCCTTGGCATGTCTGTGTGGCCAACTGATTGCAGCTACCGCTGACCTCAGACAACGGCAACACCAGCAGCAGCAGCGCTAGCAACAACACTCGTTTTACACACCTGCAACAGCTGCCAATTACACATAGAACTTGAACGCACGTGCATGTGATTTGCGGAGACCAAAAAACCGTTCTAATTTCTCAACTGTCAGTGGCAAAGAGGCAAATGCAACACACATACATACACGCACACACACAAACAAAGATGGTAACAAAAGGCTGCACCGAACTCGTTAGCTTTGCTGCTTTGGATGTTGCAATTATGTAGCGCGCGTTTACAAAAGAAGGTCGTCAGCGTTGTTGCAGTTTCTGCTGTTGTGGCTCATGTCTTCATTTTGGGCTTTTTGCTACACATGTTGCAGCAGCAGCAGCAGCAGCAGCAGCAGCAGCAACAATGCTTTTTATTTGTTTGTGCTGCCAACACTTTTGGCCTTTGGCGTTGAAGCTAACCCCACCGCGTCTGTTCAGCTCATTGCCTTTATTAAGCGACGACCAGGCCAAAGTCACTTGCTGCAAGCAGCAGCTACAACAACAGCAGCAGCAACAAAGAGTGGCCTGTGCGATTTTTTAATAGTTTTTTTAGCTGCAAACAAGTTTTTCGCTTTTGCTGGCACTTTGGGCCCCTCTGGTGTTGACGCTCCCCCGCTAGTTGCCAGCTCTCTGATTCTTTTTTTCTAATTTGCACCGCTTTAATTTTTCCTTTTTATTTGCAACACTTGTCGTTTAAATGCAGCACCCGAGCAAAGTGTTGCCAATAAATTAAATGCAATGCAAGTTGCGAATAAAATAGAAGAAAAAATTAAGAGCTACTTACATGGCTAACAAGACGAAACTTGTATACACTAAGGGAGAAATGAAGTTGAGACTGTAACTATATTTAAATAAGCTATATATTAATTGACTTCAGATAATCTTGGTAACTATTCCCTAAAATAAAATTGTATTATGTAAATAAATGTATACAATATGATATATAATAATTGTATAATTTACTAAATACTTTTTGTATTCTGTTTGACATATTTCTTACATAAAGAACTTGAGGTTTCTGATTTAATTAAAAAAACAAAAAACAAAATATTTACATATACTTTTTTGATTTATATTTAAATTAAATTATATTTAAAAGAAATGCAAATGAAAATCTTATAAAAGTCTTAAAACTTAGCTAAGTCAAAGAGAGACTAAAATTAGTATTTACATTTTTATTTCAAGGTTAACTGTAAATGATATAAAGTTTTAAGTGTAACACATAATGAGATAGATAGATACACATCTCTTAGACTGGCATTAAGAAACCCAGCACAAACAGACTCCATCAGGAAAGGCACTCTGGCTTTCTGTTAGGATATATGTGTTATGTATAGACAGAACACTAGTGGAGCTGCGAGTCTTGGTTGCAAAATTATCTATGTGGCCGGCAGTTCTCAGTTCTCAGTTCGTTTTGTGGCACGACGCAATCGCAACAAATGGCATTTTTATTGATATTTCGGTCGGTTTGGTTTGGCTGGCAGCTTTATGTTGAAATATGCGCCGCCACCTGTTGATTTTGTTTGCAGATTGGGCCCCAGACTGGGACCAGCCTCCATGCAGGCCACGAAGACCATGCAGGCTAAGAAGCTCAAATGGGCACCTCGTGATTTGCAGCACAAATTAAAAGCGAGGGCGATGCATATAAATAGCAATTTGGACAGACGAATTAAACCAAATGACTTCAACTACACAGACGGCGTTGTAAACTTGTCGTGTCGCAGGAATGAGCTGAAGTTATGTCAACAGCGTGACTACAAAAGTCGTCTATGGGTGTGTGTCTGTGTGACATTGAGTCAGGCATTGAGTCATGTGCAGCAGATCCTTTGAGAAGGCTTAAAACTTTTCAAGTTTCCTGATTATTAGCTGATTAGATTTGTAAATATTTTACAATTTAACGTAAGTAAATATAGTAAGCGGTTATAAAATAATGTTTAACTATTTTTGCTTTCAAATCTGATTATCTTTTCCATGTTCTCAAACTTCAATTTATATCTTCATTTATTTCCAACTGCACCAATTCTAATTCTTTATCTTTATATCTTTCCCAAACATTTGAACAGTTGTCAAGATCTTCTAAAGAAGACCTCGATAAGCTCTTAATTAAGCATAAAACTTAAGACACTTTTCGTAAAATTTTAACAACTCAATTGAATGCAGCTCGACTATATATTTTTTGTGGCATTTCTTATCAACTTTATCACACGTCAGCAGCCAATTAGGAGCTCCCTCGAGACAGGTCAAGCACCCCACGTGCATCGAGCGTGAGTTATAGACTTCCACGTTGACAGACAGAAGGACAGATAGATAAGTCAAAGGCTGATAAGCAGAAATTTGACAGACCTAAAGCAAACTCACTTGACGATCAGGTAGAAAATATGTCAAAATGAACACAGAAAAGCGACGAATGTAGGGGAAACTGAAAGAAAAAAAATAATCACAGGTAGAAAATAAAACCAGTTTAAACTGAACTTTTATTGTGTTTTGTGCGTAATTAAAAGAGCACCAAAAACCAAGGCAAACTTGCAGCTGCCGTTCGATGGCTACAAATAACCTGATCCAAATAAATTTATATATGCAACCCAATGGCCTAAGACATTTAAATATTTACAGAATAATTAGGGAAGCCAGAGAGAATTGGGGCGGGACAGGAATAGGAAAAGGCGCGTTTACTTAGCCAAACGGTTTCTACAACAAAAGACAATTATGTAAATGGTGGAAAATTGCTTTGGCCATTCTCGCGGCTTTCCTAGCAATTTACCAAATCAATTTCAGATCCCAAAAGTCTACCACCAGCAGCCCAAAGAGGTGATGCAGGCAGCAGCCAGCAGTCAACAGCCAGCAGCAGAGCCAAAGCTTATAATAATAATTGAATACATTGACGCCCGTCGGCTACATTTTGACGATTTTTGCAATTGAATTGATCAACCTGCAGCCGAGGCAGCAGAGGCAGCAACAGCAACAGCATCCGATTCTAAGGCAGTTCAAGTCAACAAAAAAATTACCAAATGGAAATGGGCTACATAATCAAATGCTGTTATTATTGTTGCGGTTGTAGCAATTGTTGTTGTTGTTGTTTTTAATGTGAGACTATGAGCTTTTGCCTCAAGCGGGGGAGTGAGCGTGGCAGATCTTAGCCAAAAGGTCTATCCAACAAAAGGAGCCCATGCAAAATTGTGGGTAATTCGGTTATTCGTGTTGATTGTGTCTAAAAGGTGCCAAGAATAAACGAAAACGAATAAGAACGCCGCAGTCTCTGCATAATACAAGCCAATATTTATTGATTTTCCAATCGAAACTTCTGCAAACTGCTTTAGATATTCAAATATGAAAATAGTTTTCGAAGTGACTGAAAAGAAAACCTAAAGTTCACATCGATGAATGGAGCATAACTAAAGCAAGTTGATATTCCAGTTTTGGGTTTAGTTTAATCAGCCTTACAATATGCTAACGAACATGCCACACTTTGAATTATCTGTCTCGACGACCACACAGCAAAGTGATTATGGCTCCTCTGGCCTCTCCTCTGATGCACTCGTCGTCAGCTTATTTATGCACATGCAACTGTAGCTCTTCATCAAAATAATGTAATTATCCAAATTGTTTTCTTTGAAATTTGTTTACATCATTTTTTTGTTCACTGTGCTGCAATATGCTAAAATGCCAGCATGCAATGCGAAA